GTGTTGATTGTGATGCTCTTGTAATTGAGGAACTAGGGGGATGCCGGATGGCTAGTGTTGGTCGCTGAGTCGAGCTAGAACCGGCAGTTGTTGTGAAACCTTGTGCTTTCTGTGGCTGCTGACCCGAGTCATGACCAGTATTAGGCTGAACAGGTGATTGTACTGGTGGCGTATTCGAGTCATGACCATCATCACCACCATCATCATCATCCTCATTATCATCATCCTCATCTTCATCATGGAGAAGGGCATCCTCTTCCTCTTCACCGTCATCGTCATGATCACCATCATCATCACCATCATCCTCCTCATCATCACCATCATGCCCATCATGTGGTCCTGATACTAGTTGCATTGACGGGTGACTCGAGTCATGGCCAGTATCATGTGATGCGGTATCTGCTGTTAACTGAATGGAAGCAGGCATAGATTCCTCGCTATCCGGCGAAGACCCTGCAACAAGATGTAGAGAGACACAGATGGGAGACATCAGCCTTTGTGCTGGCCATGTGGCCATATGTACAGCATTGATAGTGATGGAATGATTTACCTGTGATTCTGCAATTCCGATTGCAGTTTGCCCTTTAAGTTTCAAGGGTGTTTCCTGGTGTCTCGTGAATGATGAATACGAGTTTTGTGATTGTGAGTATTAGAAAAAAAAGGAACTTCCTTTTCTAATACTCACAATCACAAAACCCGTATTCATCATTCACGAGACACCAGGAAACACCCTTGAAACTTAAAGGGCAAACCGCATTTGGAGAATCCCGAGACAAATGAAATCGAATACAACTACAGTCCATTCATTGGAAACTGGCACCCTAACTTGTTGGTGTCTCTCTCACATAGTTGTAGATATCGTGAAAACAACAGTACAACTTGCATTGTGTGACCCGTGCAATTACTCCTTGCCACATTTGAGGCCAGAAAAGTCCAAGAACAGGGAAATATAAATTCAGCCAGGTTTTACAAAATTAGGACAGGTATGCCATGGCAAAATGTATGGAGAAGCAGATCCAAAACCCATATTTTTGAGATTTAATGTGGGATTTTGATCCTCAATTCGGCCCAAATCCGACTTTCAAAAGCCAGCGGGCCAGTTTCCGATGAATGGACTGTATAAACAATTTGAGGGCTACCAGACAATGCCCCAAACAAATGATAAAAAGTGAATGTTCATGGGACACACCAATAAATGGGCTTTGTTCAGCAAGAGGAAAGAGCCCACTGCATGGTATAGTACAATTCAAGTGCATACATAGCCTTCCCCCCTGCATTGCCTGGAACTAGTCAATTATGGAAAGGATGTTTTTCATAGACTGGAGTTGGGTTTCCAGGGAGGGTTTTCAGGGAGAGTTTCCACGATGCTGCAAAGGACGGTCTCCCCAATTTCGTCTTTTTTGAAAATGGCTGGGTCACAGTGATTAAACCACATGGCAAATTTCTGGACAAGATTTTCATTTGTCCACTCATTCATTGGATCATTGAAACCAACAGGTCTCACGCCTCCTATGTAGGGAGATAGACCATTACAATTATCTGTAGTAAAACGACCGAGGACCGAGGTTTTCCTGTGGAAGGAACCGCAGAAAGACGGTGGATATTGATTATTGAGTGACAGCGTAGCAGATACGAAAGCATGCAAACCGTTCAATGCCTTCCTTCCGCATCCGGACGTTCCGAAGTTGTACAGTAATTTTCAGTGAGTTATTTTTGTCACAAGTTGACTTTCGAGGCACGACAACAGCGATGGCCACTCGAGGTCAATTGGTAGGCAACCTTCCCCTCCCAGTAGTTCATTGTACTTCTGGCTGATGCTAACAGTTACTCGCCGGCTGCCGCCTTTGGAATGCCCTACGTGACTGCAGGACGTCGAATGTACCAGTCCACGAGTTCAAGCGCGTGCTCCAGTGAATTTACTACGGCCGAGTGCACTGGTTTCATCTGCCTGCCAAGGACATGTGAGAAAAGTTGGCATCAATGATCCAACTCGTATCACATTCAGAACTCCTTTCTCTCGACTAATCCCACCTCCACTCATTGCGATTCCTTTGCTGTTTTACTCTTCTGACTGTCTTTCATGGCTTTTGGGCAGAACTGCACGTTTATCATGCGATATATAATAAATAAATAACTACCACAAGGAAGATGAAGGAGGCGGTGACGCCCACCACTTTGACCGCAAAAATGCCTCTAGCCAAGGCACACAGGCAGAGAGAGTGAGGAACGTTTTGCTGTTACCTCTCCAATTCGTTAGGGCGCAAACATAGCTAAACTCACGCCTCGGTTATCCGGACCCTGAAGTTACGGACACTTTGCACGAGTTCCATGGAAATATGACTGTGTTCTTTGTCACTACGGTTGTTGAAATATTGACTCACATACCATATCTATACATGTATAGCCTCACACACCCCCCCCCCCCCCGTCAAAATGTATGTGGTCTCTCTGTGTATTGTATTCACAAAACATACTCTGCCGCTTGTACAATGAGTGATTGGCCCAAAACGTGAATTATTTAACAGTATCAGTAAAGCTAATTTTCAGCAATGCAGAGCAGGGTAGATAGCGACTTAATAGAGCATTTGCCATCTGGCAAATCCCCCTTTCTTCTATAGTGCAATTATATAAGGTCTGCAAATTTCAGAGTGCTTTCCTAGTAGCCCTGTAAGTACAGTAAAGCTGTGCAGCACATCTTGAAACGTGCTTACCGATGAGAATAGTTGCTGGTTTGCTGGTGACTCTGAGCTGATTCACTGAAACCAAGCAGAGATACTGTCCCATGTCACTTTCTTGCACGTCACGGACTGTCAATGTCCTGCCATTAGTGCCACGAGCCCTAGTCGGTGACAAGCCCCGGCCATCCTCTCTAAACCACACGTATCTTGCGGAGAGATTGTGCGGGTGATTGTGGGTACAGACCAGGGAGAACTGCCGTACCTCGGGACCGATGACCAGCACTACGGGCGACACAAAGACGGTGAAGGAGGAAATTTGGCCAAGACGGATCGTTGCTGTAGGCACAGTCAAGTCTGCAAATGTGGAGAAAGGGGGAGAGAAATTCAAAAAAGAACTCAGTTCGTAAGCCGAAGAAATACTATATCGGACTCGGAGGGAGAGGCAAGGAAACATTTATAGAAAAGAAAAAGGACCATGGAGCTACAAATTACGCTATAACGTGGGGTTAGTGACATTATAGCGTAACTTGTAGTTCCTTGGTCCTTTTTCTTTTCTATAAATACTCTATCTACAGTCTGTTTAAAAATAATATTAGCAATCAGGTTTGGGTCTTAACCCTTTAAGAGCCGCCCCATACTTGAATGCGTTTAAAAAGTACGAAGATGAGGAAAAATTGGACAACAAGATACATAAAAGGGCTTGTTAAGGCACGGCAAATTGTTCTGTGAAGGTTTTGTAACAATTGGACCAGCCGTTAAGGAATTATAATTTCGGCCAGGTTTCTTCCTTTTTCCCATGGTTTACAATTTGCCCTGGAAGCTAGTATCGATTTTTTCTTTATAAAAATCCATAATTTATCCCTTTCTTTTTGGCCTTGCCGTTATTAATGCTGTCTGCTGCCCATGATTTTGTGTGTTCAAATCCCAACCTATCTTCAAATCATACTTGTTTTGGTGATCAAGCTGAAAAGGTGGCTGCACCAAACGACTTGTTGTTGGAGCTCGCGCTTCCTGCCAAACTGACTGACACTTGAGTGGCTCACGCCATGTGAACACACCCACAACACTGAAACGGTGTGAGTGAATAGAAGTCATTGCGCTGTAGCTACGTGTTGAATAAACCGGCACATCGTGTTGGTGAGAATTTTTTAGTATTTCAAGATCGTCAATTTATTTGAATTTAGGAGTCAGCGCCGTCTTCTATCAGCATTCCGAGGCGTCTGCTTTTCTCAAAATGTCGTCTAAGTCACACGGATGGCTTTGCCAAGTCATGGCCTCGAGAATAAGTCCGTGCCCATATCGTTTTCGTCACATGGTGAGTGTAAAATTGCATCGCAGCTCAAAGAAACTGTTAATTTTGGTCACGAAACGTTTTGGGACCCTTGCCGTGCTTCGACATTCGACATGTCCTCTCCAAAGCCATATCGGTGCGATGAGAGGAAGAACCTTTGTTGTAAACTAGACATGCGTTGACATGAGTGAGTGGTCATTTTTCATGCTTTCGCGCGGAATATCTCTTCGAGTTCACAGCGAGTTTTTCCAGGCAGCTAATACGGTAAGACGGAAAACTCCCCAGGCGATCGTCAGGATGGCTAATCTTTTTTAAAATGACTGTATATCATTGCAGGGGCAACATAGGGCAGTCAGGAGTGGTGCGACGGGAGTGTAGCCTTGAAAAAAAATGGATTTTTTCATCACCACGGCACGTTTCAGCGCTCTTTCATTGCTTTTTTTTGGATGAATTGGGCGGACCATCCTGGACGAAGAGTGGTACGATCATGGCCGTACCTTGTTTGAGGTCCCTGCATAGGAAATAGGGGGTCAGAAGTAACGCTAGTCATTTTTTTAAATACCGGTAGTCCATACTGGGATATGTACATCGTGTGAAACTACTTGTTTTTCCGTCAAGTTGTCTATGACAATGTGGTCCATGACAATGTCCTCCATGACAATGTCCTCCATGACAATGTGGTCCATGACAATGTGGTCCATGACAATGTGGTCCATGACAATGTGGTCCATGACAATGTGGTCCATGACAATGTGGTCCATGACAATGTGGTCCATGACAATGTGGTCCATGACAATGTGGTCCATGACAATGTGGTCCATGACAATGTGGTCCATGACAATGTGGTCCATGACAATGTGGTCCATGACAATGTGGTCCATGACAATGTGGTCCATGACAATGTGGTCCATGACAATGTGGTCCATGACAATGTGGTCCATGACAATGTGGTCCATGACAATGTTGTCCATGACAATGTCGTCCATGACAATGTCCTCCATGACAATGTGGTCCATGACAATGTCATGCATGACGAGCACTGTAGGAGTTTGGCGATCGGTTTTGAACAATTCGTTTTCGCAACCCCTTCTGCACTTGTCATTGATATTTCTGAGCCACCTAAACTGAGTGGTGTGCTGCTTTATTGCTTCGAATTGTAGTTACACCGCTTTGTCAAGTATCTCGCTGGTCTCGTCATTGTCCAGTAACAATCGACATTCTTCGTTCCCGTGGGACTGTAGCTTGTACTCCTTTTCGTTGCGCTTCCCTTCCCCTCTGTGGTCTATTCTTAACCTTGAACCTTCCGAGCTGGAAGGCTGCTGGTTAGCGCCACGGAGATGGGTTGAAGCTAGGTATTAGGTCGTCGAGTGTCTCAGTACTTGGTCAGTTTTGTGCGCAGTTGCTTCCCCTTCTGACTGATTATAGTAGAGAGGTTCCGGGTACAATTTTCCATTCCCAAATCAGTATGGGCGCTACAGATTTTTCGAGGCGCGCTCCGTACGATTTTTCGGCACAGAGAATACGTGTGGTTTGGCTTCCATACGAACCATGATTCGTATGCAGATTTAGCGTCATCGAGTGCAGAAAGATTTTTCGCGTACAAATTTACGAGTACGAGAAACATCGATTTTCCACGGGAAGTTTGGATTTCGGTACCAAATTTCAAAATAAAAAGGCATAGCGAGGGAATATGATGTGTTAGCAATCGTAACATAGGCAATGGCGGCAAAGACATCAGTTCGGTACTTTGGAATATTTCAATGCTCAAAAACGAAGTATAAAAATCCGTAGAGCCTCTACGGATTTTGGCACAAAAAATTGTACTCGGGAACCTCTCTATTTTCTAGTTACATTGGTACACATTTACTCTTAACTCATATCCACAATGTCCCTTTCCTTTCTACAGATAATGTAAAGTAGAAGAAAAACAAAATTGAAACGAGTAATGGAAGAGTGTGTTGCTCCCTACATGGGAGCTTGCGGTTTTCCTGCCGACTAGAATTATCAAACGAGTAATGAAGTAATTACATGTATCCACGAATGGATCAAGACAATAAGCACCCTGAAAAAGTGCACAAAACTGACGAACTACTGTGTGACACATGACCAGCAATCGAGGACATCTGAGAGTTGTAATTTTTGTACTCCTCCGAGGTGTGATTTTTGGCGTGCTGGGCCAAGCACAAGGAAGCCATCTGCAAAAACTGCAGAAAATGGTTGTTGTTTGATCCTTTGGTGTAATCTTTGTTTCTAGTCGAAGCTAATTGCTGTTTGGAGCAGAAACGCTTAAATTGACTATTTTCTGCTTGTACTCATACATGCAGTCTCACTCGTGTTTTAGCTCTTTTTCTGGAATGAATGCTGCTCTGCGCCCCTTGGTGAAAATGTCCTGCGCTCGTGGAGCAGCTGAAAAGGACCACTGGTATGTCTGGTTCCTGGTTTGAAAGTGGAGAGTCGACTTTTGTGCCTTGAAAAAGGAGTAGAGAGCGATAAAGGTACGTCTGTGGCTTATTTTTGAGTGCTCCTCGTACATTTTTGATCGTGATAGAAATTCTCAGACCAAAGTCAGAGATGGCCGTACAGTTTTCTTGTGGATTTTTTAGTTGTTTCATCTCGTATCTATGTCAGTATCATGATGGTGAAGTGGAGAGGGTGATTTTCTTCCTCTAGGCTTCGTTCGGCCGACTTTGCTTCGTCCTCGATTCGCAAAATGATGTTGATTTTCAATGTACGTGATGATGACATGCGATTGTTGGCTATGATTCCATTGAAGGCCATGAAATAACGGTCAGAAATCGACATTTCCGACCATTTTCGGTTTTTGTCAGGACGAGATAACTCTCCGCTATCGCCTCGAACAGGTACGAAGTCTCTTTGACTAAGTTTGATTGAGCGACGATCAATCGAAAATGTTGAATTTTCTTTGCTGTGTGCTGCGAGTCCAGTCAGCTGTGCTAGATTCAGAGCTAGATTAGGTGAAATCGCTGAAAGAGACCCATTTCTTCTGAGATCTGAAACTTGAGTCACGTTTGGTGTACAATGATTTTTTTAGGCGTGGGCTCGTTGCACTTCTCTCATCAAGAGCTTTCCAATGAGCTCAAGATCTTCAAATTGGTAAAGTAGAACCAAAGTTGTTGGAAATTGATTGCGTATTTTCAGACAAGAAGCTCTTCGCCGTGCGAGTGGCCAATTGCAAGGCCACCACAGCCCGGGTCGGCTGGGGCGGCTGAGGCCGCCCCACATTTTCGGCCTTTTTGTTGTTGTTTTTTTGTTTTGGTTTTTTTCAGCACACTGCAACAAAGCGCGATGATCACAGCTCAGGAAAAACGTGGCAAATCCTTGTTCTCGATCGCGGTTTGTTGCAGAATCAAAAAGTCCCAAGTTTCGTTGTGGTTACACTTAAATGACACAAAATGCGCGGAAATGCTTGCAATTAGCTTCCATTTTTGAATTTTTTTCCCGGGGGAGGACCCCCGACCGCCCTTCCATGGCCGCCCCACTTCCATAGTCAGTGCGACGGGCCTGAATTGTAACAGGTGTACTGCTGAGCAGGACAGGACATTTCGACATCCACTTAGCTGGAGTATGAGAGATACAAAGACGATCAGGGGTGAAGTGCTTAGATGCAAGGTTTGTGTTCTGTTCGCCGAGAACATTTGTTCGTGCAAAAATATCTTGGAATCCTTCGTCGTTGGGTGAGGAATTTGAAATGTCATGTTTGTGGGCAAAAATGTTATGTTCGAGGATGTCCGGTCAATTGAAGAATTGTCAGGTAATCGTGTCAGAATGACCATGATATTTTATCGCATTGCCTGCAAGTTGTGTTTTCATTGAAGTATACAGTTATTACTGGCTCAGTGTCAGTATCCGGGTTGAAAGTATCGGGGTTGAAAGTATCCGGGTTGAAAGTATCCGGGTTGAAAGTATCCGGGTTGAAAGTATTCGGGTTGAAAGTATCCGGGTTGAAAGTATCCGGGTTGAAAGTATCCGGGTTGAAAGTATCCGGGTTTAAAAAATGCATCAATACACTTACTGACTACGACAGATGCTGGTTGGCTGGTTATGGACATATCGAATGCCATCTTTGAGCACAGATACATGCCGGCATCAGTGGTCTGTACGTCATGGATCACCAAGGTCCTGTGCGTTAGGCCATTGCAGCGATCCAGTGACAACGGATCTCCGTCCTGCCGCTTCCATTCGTACGTGGCCCACGGAACCGGGAAGTTACTTGCGCAGGTCAGTGAGAATGAAGTTGCGTCAGATCCGACTCGGGTCACGGCTGGAGATACAGAGCTAGTAAAGGTGTCCACCTTGCGGTATTCCTCAGGAACATCAGGAAGGGACTCAGCTACATGACAATAATTGTTGAGCAAAAAAAGAAGAAGAAGAAATGTATGAACCATTGCAACAGTTGATTGAGTAAGGAGACAATATCGTGTTGTGCAGCTTCATATTGGACATAACACATTGCTACCCGTAAGTGCAATGTCCCACACATACATTATCGTGAACCAAGGGAGTTACCATGTGGAATGAATGATGTACATTACTACCCCCCCCCCCCCCACACACACGACCACGCCAACACACACACACACACACACACACACACACACACACCTTGAACCTTGAACCTTGAGCGCCCATTGCCGTAGCAATGATAGCGATGGCTTCCTCACGCTGAGGCTCTAAACTCGAAATCTGCAGTATGGCGCATGCCGCTTGAGGTCACCAGGACGGGATGTCTGGGGCTTCCTTCTCGACCCTCTGTCCACAACACTGAAACCAGGTGGATCTCTCCTGCGCTGTGTCATACCGTTCCGCTTCAGGTAAACCGACGACAGCAAAGTCCGAGGACACAATATCTCGCCAGCGCTTCTTGGGACCATGTTGCGGGCGTTTGCAGGGCAGTTTGCCGAACAGCATCTGCTTGGGCAGCCGGGTCTCCTTCATCCGTGCAACATGACCAAGCCACCGCAAGCGGTGCTTCCTGATCACATCGGCCATGTCGACGTCCACCCCTGCCAGCTCACTCAGCGATGCTGACGACAATCTCTCCTCCCATTGCTCACGACGAAAGATACCGAGAATTGTGCGAATACACTGATGGTGAAAGGTGTTGAGTCGGCGAATATGACCCGCTTTGATGGGCCATGTCTCCGCACCGTAGAGAAGAGCAGGAAGGACGATAGCACGATACACCAGCCGCTTGGTGTGGACCGAGAGATGTACGCACTGAAATATCGGAGACCTGAGGACGCCGAACAGCCGGGACGCCTGCGCCAAACGAGCAGCGAGGTCCGCATCCACCATTCCGTCAGCAGAGAGCACGCTGCCAAGGCACCGGAACCCGTCCACCATGTCAATCCTGATATCACCGCCGAGTTGAACGGGATCAACTGATGTGGGTTGACCCACCGCCATGCCCTTCGTCTTCCTAATGCTGACGGTCAGTCCCCATCGCTGTGCACACAAGATGAACTCGGACGTCATGCACTCAAATCTCTCCTGGTGGTTGCATACAACGCTGCATCATCGGCGAACTGGGACTCAATCACCCTCGTCGCAGATAACCGGGACTTCGCCGTGCGGTCCCCAACCAGCTTGCGACCGTTTCTGAACAGCAGGTCAACTCCAGCGTCTGGACAACGTGCGCGCCAGTCCGCAACCATCACACTGAAATAGCGGTTGAAGAGGGTGGGTGCTAGGGTACATCCTTGATGCAGCCCATTAGTCACAGAGATGTTGTCGGAAAGCTTACCGTTGACTCACACCTTCGCAATCATACCCTCATGAAGGGACTTGATGAGTCCCAACATAACCGGCGGAACACCCAGCCTATCCAGCTCACTCCAGAGCGCTGTAGGGGATGGAGTCGTACGCCTTCTGAAGATCTACAAATAAGACGTAAAGAGACGTATCGTGCTCAATAGTCTTCTCCACTAGTTGACGTGCACAGAAGATCATGTCCGCGCAACCTCGACCTCGCCGAAAACCACACTGAGAATCCGGGAGAATTTCCTCAGCC